TGAATAAAGTAGGAACCACAGCAGCAATAATTTAAGTTTAAAACAGTGTTTTTTTGTTTTTTTTAAAATAAGGAAACATTTTGAGGGCAATTGTTGATTCGCTCACCCGTTTCACCCTTTCATTTATTTTTTTTAAATCTCCTTCCTAATTAGAAATGTTATTCTTTATAAAGTGCCATTACATAATATGTTACATGACTTATTTTATGATTTACTAATGTAAATGAAAGCCCTTCCCTCTCCATACACCCTGGATTCCATAATAGCAACAGATAAACTATTGATAAACATTAACTAAACACTTTTCACCTTACTTAAAATAAAAAAATGTTCATCACAAGTAAATGCTATAATAGGAACAATCCAAACACCACAACTACTAAGGCATACTGTTGGGGTTATGGTGTCAGGAGTGCCCTGTGCCCAATGTAAATAGGGCACTGGACCCAGGATTACACAGAGTTTAAGAAAGGAGAGCTTACATAAACTCCTAGTTTCCTCTCAGAAAGGACAGGGAGTTGGGCCGTATTGTCCCCACTTAAGAGTTAAGCCACTTTTGTTTCTGTTTATGCAGCCCTTGCAAAAACTTCCCTGGCTGTGACTCACACAGTCTGAATAAAAAAAATGTTTTATTTTCAATACATGTTAACTGAATTTGGAAGTTTTTATCCCCTGCTCTGTAAATTGAACTTGAATCACACACAGAAGATAAGCAACTCTAAATTCCCCAGAATGTACAATAAAGGAATTGTACACAATAGATCTCACTTTAAGGGAAGTGTTTAGGAAGGCTAAGTAAGTCACATGCAGGGAGGTGTGACAATGGCTGCATAAACAAAGTGAAGTAACTCCTACATGGAAGATAATTGAGCAGTGAGGCTGCAAGGGCATGATCTATACACTAAAATTGTTTCATTAAGCTAAACAATTTATGTGCTGCATGTATATAGAATGTATAGAATGCATGAATAACGTATATAGAATGTATGTCTTGCATATATATAAAATGTATGTATATAGAATCTATGTGATATATATAAGGATAGCAAATTAGGGAGCTATCATCTTAGCAGCTGAAAGTTCAACATTTTTAAAAAGCAATTTCCTTAATGTTGGTCGTTACATATTTTGTAGATTTTGGTACCCTTATGTGGCATTGTCATATTTAAGAATATCAAATTAGGGTGCTGTTTAGCAAAAAGCTTCCTTATTTTGTATTCTTAGATATGTCAAATCCACGAAGAATTGCAAATTAGAGAGTTATCTACTAAACAGCTGAAAGATCAAAATTAATAAATAAAGAGCCCTTTTATTAGTTTTGATCTCTTGACTGTGTTTAGTACATAGCTCTCTAATTTAGTAGCCTTGTGTGATTTACCATTTTTAAGGGTTATACAATTAAGGAGCTATCTGCTAAACAGTGATCTAAAAAAATAATAGGAACAATGGTGTTCAAGAGTGTATATATAGAGAGAGAGAGAAAGAGAGAGCGAGAGAGAGGAGTTACCCTGTGTTTATAGGGAGTGTAGTGAATGTGTATAAGGAATGTAGCATGTTTATAGGTGGTGTAATGTGTGTTCCTATTACTACCCTCTTCACATTTCCTTACTTGTCCTCCACAAACACCCATTCCCACATTCTTTACATACCCAAACTTTCCATCTTCATAATTTCATTCTCACCTTCTTCATATTCTGAAAAACTACCATTTTAATAAAACCATAAAACCCAACATGCCAATACCACATTTTCATCCCATAACCACCAACTTTATATCCCCTATATGTGTCCCCTGAAAATCGTCATAGATTTAAAAACTTTTAAAAATCTCAATTTTAATCATTTAATAATATACCAGATCTTTAGATCAATTGAACCTATAAAAGTATTTTTACTTTTCAACATCTACTATCCAAACAAGCCCCATTACAAGTATTGATTTTTTTTTATACAGGATATTAAACTGTCAACTTGGGTAGATATGGGTATAAATAAAATAGAACCTTTGTATTCAAATAATAAGATCGGTTTATTTTCAAAACTTCAGGCTTGTTGTAGCTTACCTTCTAAGAAACTATTTTCCTATCTAAGAATTTTTAACTTTCTAAATAAAACTCAAACTATAGATCAGGCTCCATTAGACAAGATTATCTATGGGACATTGTCAAAAAAATCCTCAAGGATTAGACATACTATTACTAAATTTGGTCATGAAACAAAATCAAATTCTAAAATAAAACTGGAACAAGATTTGTGTTAAACATACTCACTACAATCATAGCGTAAATCCTTTGACTTAATAAGGAAAACAATACATTATGTAAATTTACATGAATCCGTCCTCAAACCTCTTAACCGCTAGTATTTGGTTCCCACCAGATTGTGCAAATTTCAACCACTAGTCTTTAACCGCTGTTGGAGATATGAAAGAGAAATAGGATCTATAAAACACATCTGGTGAGACTACAATAATTTAAGTAAAATCACAAACAACGACTCTTTAAAGATTTAAATATTAATATTTCAGATTTAACTCCTGAACAATTTATTTTTCATCTCAGATTTTTTTAGATTTCCAAAGACAAAATTATGCCTTGCCAGATATTGAAAAAAAAATGTAAGACTCCCGATCTCAACTAAATAAAAGCATAAATACATTTTCAAAGCATTATGGAAAGGGCTGTATATTTTAATAATGGCAATATAGAAATCTATATGGACACCATGGTTTGAATACTATAAACATGCCGGATAGCTCTAATAACTATATCCTTTATCTTCCTTTACCTGGGCTATTCCTTTATACTGTTTCATCTTATGAAATATGCTTTTGCATAACGGTTTGCTCAGCTAGGTCCCCCTACGTCACCAGCGACCTTCCCCTGCCCTTACACCACAATCGATGTATCCTTCTATGTAAAACATATTTTATAAATACTTTAATATCTATGACTCCTAACAGAACATAATGTGTTACATTGTACATGAGGGATCTTATGTTGTAGACCAATTGTAAACAAAAAAAGAATATTATCTGTCTTGTATGTATTGTAATGTATATGTTTGGTTACTTTGTCAAATTGAAAACGTAATGCCATTAGGGCTGCATAGTACGCCCTAACGATCTTGCACTCCCCAGCCGCAATTTACTTACCTGGACCAGTGATCCACGGCAATGAATGAAATTATATATGTATAATATTCTAATCAGATGTTTTAATTAACTTATCATATATTACAAAATATACATCAAGTAATGTCATAAGCGTATCTTGATGTATATTTTATTTACAAAATACACTTCGAATTATATATATATATATGTATATGTATACATAAAATATAGTGTGTGTGTATATCTACTATATTTACATTAATTTTATAAATTATAATTCAAGGGACTTGCCTGAGAACACAGGTTGAAAGTCCATTGAATTTAATTTACAAGCCCTATCGTTAACCCTGTAACTTTCCATAACACCATAAAACCTGTACATGTGGTGAACCATTGTACTTGTGAGACTTCGCTGAACACAAATATGAGCGTTTTAAAACACTAACTTCTAATGATGATGACAGGGCCGCCATCAGAAAATTTGGGGCACATGACAAAGCACAAGGTCTGGGCCCCCCCCTCCTCGCGGGCCCGCCCACGCCCTACCTAGTCCGCTCACAATGATGCAGGACTGAATGTGGTGTGTGTATAGTGGAAGTGAATTAGAATGTGTGTAATGGATGTAGTGTTTGTGTGTATTAGATACTGTTTGTGCAATGAATGCAGAGTGTGTGTTTGTGTAGCGGATGCAGTGTGTATAGTGAACGCAGAGTGTTTTTGAGTAGTGGATGTAGTGTGTGTACAGTGATGTAGTGTGTGTTTGTGTAGTGGATGTAGTGTTTGTATGTACTAGATGAAATGTGTTTAGTGGATGCAGTGTCTGTAGTGTGTGTATTAGACGCAGTGTCTGTGTATAGTGAATGCAGAGTGTTTCAATTTGTGGTGGATGTAGTGTGTGTACTGTGAATACAGGATGTTTGTGTGGTGGATGCTGTGTGTACAGTTAATGCAGAGTGTATGTTAGTGTAGTGAATGCAGAGTGTGTGTCAGTATAGTGAATCCAGAGTGTGTGCATAGTTTAGTGAATGCAGAGTGTATGTTATTGTGTAGTGAATGCAGAGTGCGTCAGTGTAATTAATGTAGTGTGTATGTTAGTGCAGTGAATGCATAGTGTGTGTAAATTTGTAGTGAATGCAGAGAGTGTGTTAGTATGTAGCGGATGCAGAGTGTGTGTTAGTGTAATGAATGCAGTGTTGATGTGTAGTGAATGCAGAGAGTGTGTTAGTGTGTAGCGGATGCAGAGTGTGTGTTAGTGTAGCGGATGCAGAGTGTGTGTTAGTGTAGCGGATGCAGTGTGTGTTGCGTTAGTGGATGCAGTGTGTGTTAGTGTATGCAGTGTGTGTGTGTGTTAGTGTATGCAGTGTGTTGTGTTAGTGTATGCAGTGTGTGTGTGTGTGTGTGTTAGTGTATGCAGTGTGTGTGTTAGTGTATGCAGTGTGTGTGTGTGTGTATGTGTGTGTGTCAGTGTATGCAGTGTGTGTGTTGTGTTAGTGTATGCAGTGTGTGTGTGTTGTGTTAGTGAATGCAGTGTATGTGTGTGTTATTGTATGCAGTGTGTGTGTTGTGTTATTGTATGCAGTGTGTGTGTTAGTGTATGCAGTGTGTGTGTTGTGTTAGTGCATGCAGTGTGTGTGTGTGTGTTAGTGAATGCAGTGTATGTGTGTTATTGTATGCAGTGTGTGTTGTGTTGGTGTATGCAGTGTGTGTTGTGTTGGTGAATGCAGTGTATGTGTGTGTTATTGTATGCAGTGTGTGTTGTGTTAGTGTATGCAGTGTGTGTTGTGTTGGTGAATGCAGTGTATGTGTGTGTTTTGTATGCAGTGTGTGTTGTGTTAGTGTATGCAGTGTGTGTTGTGTTAGTGTATGCAGTGTGTGTTGTGTTAGTGTATGCAGTGTGTTGTGTTGGTGAATGCAGTGTATGTGTGTGTTATTCTATGCAGTGTGTGTTGTGTTAGTGAATGCAGTGTATGTGTGTGTTAGTGTATGCAGTGTGTGTTAGTGTATGCAGTGTGTGTGTGTGTGTTAGTGTATGCAGTGTATGTGTTGTGTTAGTGAATGCAGTGTATGTGTGTGTTAGTGTATGCAGTGTGTGTGTGTGTGTGTGTGTGTTATGTGTGTGTTAGTGTATGCAGTGTATGTGTGTTAGTGAATGCAGTGTATGTGTGTGTTATTGTATGCAGTGTGTGTTGTTAGTGTATGCAGTGTGTGTGTGTGTTAGTGAATGCAGTGTGTGTGTGTTAGTGTATGCAGTGTAGTGTGTGTTGTTAGTGTATGCAGTGTATGTGTGTGTTATTGTATGCAGTGTGTGTTGTGTTAGTGTATGCAGTGTGTGTTTGTTAGTGTATGCAGTGTATGTGTGTGTTATTGTATGCAGTGTGTGTGTTGTGTTAGTGTATGCAGTGTGTGTTGTGTTGGTGTATGCAGTGTGTGTGTGTGTGTGTGTTAGTGTATGCAGTGTGTGTTGTTAGTGTGTGATCTGGGGTGAGGGGGAGGAAGGGGCATTTTAACATTAATTTTTTATTAATTTAATTAAATGTTTCTCCCCCCTCCCTGCTTACCTGTGTCCATGGAGGGGGGAGATTCCATCCCTGGTGGTCCGGTGGGGGGCCCCCGGCTCCCTGTTACCGCAGAGGGGGCCCAGGCAGCACACAGCTTCTCCTCTCTTCTCATAACTCTCGCGAGACCCGGTTACCATGGCAACGCTCCGCGGGTCTCGCGAGAGTTATGAGAAGAGAGAAGACAGGAGGAGAAGCTGTGTGCTGCCTGGCTGGGCCCCCTCTGCGGTAACAGGGAGCAGGGGGCTCGCGGCTGCACACATAGATAGCGATATTCGCTATCTATGTGTGCAGAAAGGGAAAGTGGGGCCCAGGACTGCCAGAGCAGTCCGGGCCCCCCAGGGCCGCCGGGCCCGTGACAACAGTCACGGTTGTCACCCCCTGATGGCGGCCCTGGATGATGATAACATCAGTGGAAGTGCAGTTTGTGTGTGAAAAATGCAAAAACAAATATATGAAAACGAACTTTGGCTAGCATTTGTGACTAAGTGGCTACTACAAAAGACTGAACTTACAATAGTAAAAAACAGAATATAGGTTGCGCCAAAAACTATAATAAAACAATAGTAAAAACAATGCGTACTTACATAAAATGAATAAAAATTGAATAATGTCCTGATAAAAAGTGTAAGAAATAATAGTCCAAGTTTGATTGAAGAGATAAGTGGAATTGATAGACCATATAGGATCCGAGGAAGTCAGGTATCCAGATGATGTGGAAGCGTGCAGATAGAAGAGAGAAATTCCAATAGTGTAAAACTGTAATAGGAAGATGGCAATGGTGGTAATATCAGTCCTTCTTACTCACCTATTTCAGAGCTATGGCTAGCTCAGGAGTGTATAGCATTCAGTGGCGTTGATCCCCCACTGGTAGGATATAGGTTTTGGTAGGTACAGGTCCTCGGTATAGAGAGAGAAATACAAACAAATCGTGCTCTCTGTATATAACAATCATGGATAAGTATATAAAAGGTATAATACTCACATATAAGTGAGCAGGAATATACTGCTCACTATATTAGTGTAGGTGGTATAATCCCCAAGTAGGATTCTTGAGTGAGTGAATGATCCAAAGTATGCAATGACCAGGTAAAAGTTAAATAAAATGATAAAAATAAAAATAGTAATGTATATATTAAAAAAAAGGATATATAAAATAAAGGTATATGGCACAAGCACAATATTAGGGGTCAATATTCCTTTAATTATAGATAATAAAATACATAATAACAGGTACTCCCCTTGCTGCCTGTAATTGGTTAAAAAATTATTAAAACACAGTTTAAAATAAAATATATACTTAGATATAATCTAAGTGTATATATATATATATATATATATATATACACACACACACAAACACACATATATATATATATATATATACATACACATATACACTGTATAAGTGTATATTAATATTAAAATATATAATATATCAAAATACACGTACAATGATATTGATTAAATATATATAATTATAAATCTATATGATATTAAAAAACTTAATACGTTAAAAAATCATTAAAAAATATATGTGTGTAATTTCATTCTATCTGTATTTTATCAAAATACACGTAGAATGAAATAATATATCTATATACATATATATCACTATACGATTCTGTATTTTGTATATATATATATATATATATATATATATATATATATATATATATACACCTGTATATAAATAAAAATAATTTTTACAAAATTATATACACACACACACATCACGAGGTCGCAAGGACCTCGTAATCACATGGCCCAGGAGGGCTGGATCGGCGGCAGGGGGACTCCCTGGGATGCCAGGTGAGTCCCCCCACCGCGATCGCCGGCGACCAGGCAAGTACATAAGATGGTGGGGACATTCTATGCCGCCCGCCAGCGTTTAGGACCGGGTCCCCAGGGATGGCATAGAACGCCCGCCATCCTTAAGAGGTTAATATGAAAGAGCTGAATTATGGTTGAACAGACCTATAGCGCAAATTCCAGGTTTTTTTACGTTTTGTTTTGATCACAACTTGTACAACTGAATCCATCATTAAGGGGTTAATAAACATGCAAATTAAAAAGAAAACACATCCATTCACATTTCTAAACCCTCCATTCGTAAACTGAATTTTCATATTCCCATATTCGCTATGTTCACATTCCCATTCCCTCCATCTTCAAATTCCTATAACAACTGCCTTGATGTTTACAAAACCTCTCTTTAAATTCCTATTCACATTCCCATAATTACTTTCCTCTACACTTTCCATTCCCATACCAATCCTCTTTACTTTTCATATCTGACCTCTACTCTGATCAGCCACAACATTAAAACCACTGACCGTTAAGAATAACATTGATTATATTGCTATAATGACACCTGTCAATGGGGCATATATTAGGCAGCAAGTGAACAGTCAGTTCTTGAATTTCATGTGTTGGAAGCAGGAAAAATAGGCAAGCGAAAATATCTGAGTGGCTTTGAGAAGGCCCCAATAATAACTAGTCGACTGAGTCAGAGCATCTGCAAAATGACAGGTCTTGTTGGGTGATCCTGGTATGCAGTGGTTAGTACCTACCAAAAGTGGTACAAGTTAGGGCAACTGTTGAACCAGCATCAAGGTCATGGACGCCTAAATTCATTGATGCACACATGGGGAGAGAAGGATAGCCTGTATGGTCTGATCATGCAGTAGAGCTTCTGCAGCTCAAATTGCTGAAAAATGTAATGCTGGCAATTTAAAGACAGAAAGGTGTCAGAACACACAGTGCATCACAGTTTACTGTGGATGAGACTGCAAAGCGCAGACCTTTCAAAGGATCTCTGTCCAACGTAGAAAACACCTTTAATGGCAATCTGAGTGTTAAGTCTATGGAGCAATGGAAGAAGGTGGCCTGGTCTGAATCACATTTTCTTTTAGATCAGGTGAATGGCCGAGTGCCTGTGCATTGTTTACCTCGGAATGAAATAACAGCAGGATGTACTATTGGAAGAAGGCAGGCTGTAGGTGGCAGTGCTATGCTTTGGGCAATAATCTGCTGGGAAACTTTGGGTCCTGTCATTCTGAACATCCCTTATCCTCATATTGCAATAGTCTTTGTGCATCTGCTTCACTCCCACCTTATTTGATTGATATTCCCTGTCCTAATATGTTTCATACCCCACCTCCTATAGACTGAAAGTTCATTTCTTCAACCTATTGTTCCTGTAAGTTTTCTTGTAATTGTCCTATTTATAGTTAAATCCCCCCTCTCATAATATTGTAAAGCGCTATGGAATCTGTTGACACTATATAAATGGCAATAATAATAACAATAATGTGTTCTCACTATTTCCCAACCATACCTGTGCTCCTCAACAGTCTGTCTGAGTTAAATAATCTGATTTATCTAATCCTATGCTTTCATGATTACATTTTCTAAATCAGATACCTCTTGATTGATTTCTATCTGTTCCTCTGACAGAAAACAGTGTTTTCCTAGCCTGATTTCTCCAGTTCTAATCTTTGTAGTGTGTTCTTAAATGAATATACAATTAATGTATTAATTTGTCACTATAGACCAGCTTATGTAAAGCTATCTGGTAAAGGTGCCATAAAAGAGATGTAAAATATGAATAAACCGAATGATGAATTTGTTACAGGGTCATTAAAGGAGCACTTGCCTATAGGAAGGACCTTCTCATGAATCTTAGATATAGAATAAATCTCTCAATCTCTCTGTCTAGCCTGGAGTGTCAACAGTGGCAATGTCAAGCCACCCACACCTAAATCTTTATATATTTTGGTAAAGATTATCTTTAATGCATGCTATAGGCTGTACAGAAGAAACTGATGACATTTCTTTTGTGGTGTACATTGTTATCCAAAAATCATAAAACAATATAATCATTGTCGTAAATCAGAGACACGTGTCAAGACACTAAATCAATATACTATTCCTAACTTTGTGGACAGAGAAGAATGAGGTTACAAAAAAAGAAAAAAGAAAAACAGTAACAAGATTCCCTGCTATTCCCAAATAGTATTTGTGAAGACACAGATCTGCAAACCATAATAAATCAACTGTCATGGATTCCTTAAAAGATTTGCCACTTTGAGCATACTCTAACTCTTAACCTTGTACTGATAACGCAGATGGACAGTGATAGTATTAAACATTATAGGGTAAAGTGTACCCTCTAAAGCATAAGCATAACTTATTGTACCTGTGCCTGCACAATCTAACAAGCAGAGTGCAATCTATGCTCGCAGTACTTTATATCTGAAGTAAGTGAAATCTTTACATAGGAGTATATTTTTGTGACGGTAGTCACCATCACTGGTGATGCAAGACAAACACTATGTGTGGGTCCCCAGATTACTTTTATGTTTTGGTCACCCTATGCCCATTATTGGTGCAAGGTATGCTGAATGTATTGCTTGTATGTGCCTCTCCCCCTCCCCATTTTTCCTGTTCTATTGTTTCCCTAGCAGGGCGTTGTCCCAAGGACACTGCCAGACCAGTTTAAACTAGCTGCTCAGTCCCTCCTCAACTTGCTATTGTCTGACCCCACATT